GCGCCTCAGCTTGGGGACAGGGTCCAGCTTTGCACTGCACAGAGCGAGAGGCTGATGGCCCAGGAGAGCTCTCTCTGCCCTGATCGCACAAGGAATGGATTCGCAGTAAGAATCAGAGGCGACGCACATCTGAGCCGGTGAAAAGCTGGGGTGCCTTGTGGCTTTGTTGGTGGTTTTTAAGTGAAAATATGTGCGGGCAGCTCCTGGGGTTGGGTGGGGCTGGGCCTCAGGATGGGGGAAAGCCAGCTGCTGGCCGAACCTGTTCGCTGGCCCCAGCGCCCTGCCCTCCGCAGTGGCTCTCGGGAGAAAAAGCCCCCTCTTCGCTCGCCTTCCCCTGGGGACTGCCAGGCCGAGGGGCCCTGCGCCCTCTGCACCCTCACCTCCACATTCAGGTCAGCTCCGGCATCCAGCAGCATCTGAACCATCGCCTCGTCCCCACGGACGCAGGCGTACATCAGGGGGGTCATGCCCTGCGGTGAGTCAGAAACCAGAGAACGGACAAGGTTTACCAGGCGGCTGTGTCACTTGATAACAGATGGAAAATCTCACTTTTGTTTAGGAGGCTATGTTTATACTCAAAATCCAGCATTAAAAAAAAGAAACAGCCCTACGACTCATAAGGTCATAATCCTACATATTTCGAAAACCAAAACGGAGGCAAGAAGGGACCATAAATGGCCTTTCCCCCCCATTTATCGTTGCTTAAGTTGGAGGATTTTCATTTGTCTGTCTTAGGGTACAACAGACCTAGGGAGCGGTTGCTGAAGCAAATGGCAGATATTAACTTATTGCTCTTAAGAACTTTCTGGGTTCTACAGCATCAGCCCCCAAGCTGTCTAATTGACAAACACTGTTTCCTTGACATTTTCTCTTTCTCAGTATAACACGTGTCATCTGTACTCTACACAAGATACCGGTGGGTGTCAAGGGAAGTTGGATGCCTCTGAGCATATCCCCAGCACTGATCTGGTTTGACATGATTGTTTACAAGCAAAAGGCAAGTGAAGGAAGACTGGCTTTCAGAAATTCCATACTGGATTTGCCCATGACTCCTGCTTATGACAAAGTACCACAACCAACAGAAGGAAGGGGTGGATTTTTCAATAAACAGTGTTGTGAAGGTGGCTATTTGGGAAAATATTCAAGTAAGAAGAGCCTTATCTCACACCATCCACTGAAATCATTTCTAGTTTAGTTAGAGGTATAGAGACAAAATTAAAACCATAAAAGACATCTAGGCATAAAAGCAATAAAAGAAATCACAAAAGAAAATCATTACATCACGGAGGACATAAAATTGAAAACATAAAATTAAAAGGTAAGCAATAAATTGAGACATATTTGTCACATTACAATAAAGGGTTATATGTCTAATATGTAAAGAGAGCTCTTCTAAGTAAAAAAGACAGTAAAGGTCCAATGAAAAACAGGCAAAAGATAAGTAAAATATTTATAGGGAACACATATCTAGTTGGAGGATATGTACAAGGAAACAAAGCATCTGGAAAAGTGATCTGAGATCAAAACCTTAAGCAAGGTTGGTGAGTTTGAGCCACTCTTTCCACTTTTAAGAATTTCCCTAATGAAATAATCAGGAATTTGAACAAAGACTTGTGTAAGTTTATTTAGCTCAGCATTATTGATATAAGTGATTAAAAACAACCTAAATATCCAACAACTGACGTGTGGTTAACTGAATAAATAATGACCATTTTAAGTAGCCGTTGAAAGGGATAACAAATATTTAATGATATTACAAAGTACCTTCCTATAAAATACGAAAAACAACAAGATATAATAAATCCTACTTAAAAATATATATACATAAATTGTGTGTATGTGTATGTGTGTATTAGGGCCTCTCGGTGCTGCTCTAGAAAAGTATTAGCTGCTATCCCTTCCCTGGAACTTGCTGCATGAGCCACCCACGTGAGAAGCAGCTCCATCTGTCCCTTGTGACTGTCCATCGGGGGCTCACATCGAAGGGGTCTCTCTGATTGGCAGACCCACCAGCCTTTCATTGTACCTTAGTGTCAGGGGTTTGGGGGACAGCTGCCTATCTCTGAGGTTCCTCCGAGGGTCCCCCAGAATGACTTTTGTGCATCTTCAACATATCATGAAAGTTTGGTGATAATCTGCCTTGAGTTGGTCTGTGATGCAGTAACAGGCTGCAGAGAACTAATTTTAACCACGCTAGAAAAAGAACTTGAAGGACACATACTAAATATAAATATGATGGTTATCCGGGTGATGGCATTATTTCCTTTCTGGAATAGGCCTATTTTTTTCCTATTTTCCATTTCAGCTGCAACGATCACTTGCAACTTCTATAAAGATGAACAAGGGTATTTTTATTTTAAAAACGAAAACTAAAAAAAAAACACCCCAAACCTTAAAAACCCCCACAAAAATCACTCTAAGTCACCAGGAGGGGGAGCCTCTGGTCAGTGCCTGCCGTTTCCATCTGGCCGGGGCAGTGCTCCTGGTGCAGCTGGGGGCGCGTGTGCAGATCCTCGGGGGACCCTGTACCTGTTCGCTCATGGTGTTGATCCCGTCGGGCCCCAGGAGAGACACCGCCTGCTTCACGAGGTCGGTGCGCCCACAGTTCAGCATCCGGAAACCCAGGTCCTGCTTGAACTTGGCTTCGATGGCCACTGCGTCCAGCTTCCGAGAAGCAAAGAAGCAGTCGTCAGCCCTAAGGAAGGGAGAGATGGTCAGCAGCTTCCTTAGGGACCGTCCTGGAAGGCCACAGAGCCAGGCAGCACCGGGAAACTTTGCGTTTGCTTTTTATGTCCATTGCCCGCTCCTGGCTTCAGTTAAAATGTGGATGTCCTGACCCTTTGCCTGTATAACTGCTATGGATCTGCCCTGTCCTCTGTGTTCCCACAGTGTACTGAGCTAAGTAGACTATTGGCTAATAGTTACTGAATGTTTACTAGGGGCTAGGCACTATGCTAAACTCTTTAAATGAATTAGTTCATTTAATCCCCACTCAACCCCAAGAGGTAAGTACTATCATCACCCCTCTTATAACCACAGGAAAACAGACACAGAGGAAGGACTTGCCCAAGGTCACACAGCCAGCAAGCAGTGGAGCTGGGATGTGAACCATGGCAGTGTGGAGAGCCCACCTGGATACCTACTATGTCACCCTGTCCCCCCTTCATGGCACATACTATTTGCCTCTTTCCTCGTGTGCCTCTCTCTCCAGGCTGGGGACTTCCGAGAGAGCAGGGACCTGTGTAGTGTGTCTCTGCATCCCAGTGCCAGACAGCACACGGAGGTGTTAAAAACGTTAGCCAAATGAACACAGGACGGGTGGGTTCTCTACATTTATAGAAGTGGGGCAGAGAACTAGCAAGATGGGGTGAGATCGCAAATGGTAAGGTGCCTCGGAAACGAACCCAGCCAGCTGGGCACAGCGAGAGGTTAGGGAAGGGTGGGGACATCAGCGGATTCCAGAAGGTGATGCTAACTCTGCTTGTACAGGATGTTTACTTTCTTCCCACGGTGAACTGATCAATCACTTATTGAATCAAAACTCTAAGCATTTATTGAACACCTATTTGTGACAAGCCCTGCTCTAGGTGCTGAAGACACACAGCTGAACACGTCACTGTCCCTGCCCTGGGACCCACTGCCTGGAAGGGGAGAGGGCACAGGCACTGGCCATGATAACCCCATGTGGCAAATGCACTGACTGCGAGATCGGAGACATGCACCAAACAGAGCCTCGGGGGATTCAGCAAGGCTTCCTGGGGGAGGTGACCCTGAGCTGTGTCTTACATAAGGAGATGACAGGAGGAGAGGGGGCAGAACTTTGAGCAGGGCTGGTATGAGCAAAAGTGTGGAGATGAGACATGGCGGGTGGAGTGAGGGTGACGGTGAAGGTTTCAGTGTTTCTGGGGTCTAAACTTGCAGGCAGGGTGCCAGAGCTGAGGGTGGGGCTAGATTACAGGGAGGCTTGACTTAATTCTTCAGGCTCCAGACTTTATCCTTAGATGCCACTGAAGGTTCTTAAGCAGGCAGGGGCCTGGTATGGTTGGGTGGCCAACTCTGGGAGAGTAGAGGACGGGTTTATGGGAGCCACCCCGAGAGGTAGAAGCCATGTTAGTGCTAAGTGAACTAGCTGAGTGGACAGAAGAAGCCACCAACGACAAAGAGAAGTGACAAGGGGCCGAGTGAAGGCTGTGGCTGCTGGGATGGAGCGGAGGTCGTGGATTCTGCCTTCTCCACATGCAGGCACCCGTTTCTCAGATGATGGCCCCGAGGCTGGTGGACCCCACAGCTGCGTGAGCTGCCACTGGCGCTGTCCCATACCCCCTGCTAGTCTTTCTCTTGCTAATTCAGAGGGTGGAAGCTGAGGAAAGGGGCCAGGCGTTCAGCATTCCTGGTTCCGCTCCTGCCTCTAACTGACCCACTTGGAAGGATTAGGTTTGTGGGGGGACCCTCTTTTTCTCCTTGGAGGAAATGAGTGGGGCTGTTGTTTATGGTACTGAGACTCCTGCTCAGCAGTAAGAGTAGGATCTGGCAAGAGCACCGGAGGGGTGAGCCTCAGAGAACCTCAGGAAGTGGGTGGGGTGGGTGTGTACTTGACCCTCCACTGGGTTCCTGATATGTCACTCATCCCTGCTGACAAAGGAGCCTTGGCCCAAGGCTGTCCTGAAAGAACCAACCCCCGGTAGGTAGGCTACGTGAGGCTCTCAATAGGAGACACCAGGAGTTTGCTTCTGGCCACCAGGGGGAGCTGTGCATCAGTGCATGTGAAGATACAACGCAGAGAGCCCTGAGCTCCTGCTGATGGGGGGTCTAATCTGCACCCATGCTCAGGAACTGTGCGTCATGTCAGGCTCCAAGGGCCTATGTGTATGAGAGCCCAGGGAAGAACTAAGGAAGGTCTTTAGGGGCCCTGGACTCCAAGATTAAAGACCACCCCAATGCTGGGAAGCCTGAGAGCTCCCCAGGTGGTGGGGGAGGGCTGAAGGACCCTGGGCCCGGCCTTAGACCATGGCATGGCATCAGCATCCAGGTTGGAACTTCTGGGGCAAAGAAGGGGGCCGCGCCATAGGGCCCAGTTCATGGGGGCTTTGGACTTGAGACTCAGCTAGGGCTCCAGATTCAGCAAATAAAAAACACTTCAGCAAATATTGCATGGGCCAAACTTATACTAGAACATGATTCGCTGTTTATTGGAAACGGAACTGTTTTATCTGAGAAAGGGCAGAGCCACTTGCCATGATCCTAAAGGAACGCGAGGGGAGACCATGGATCCCACTGTAGTGCAGACGGCACCTATCTCCAGGGAAGGAGGGAAGACCTTTGGTGTGGCAGGAGGCTTCATCTAAAGGATTGATGCGCCCTAAAAATGGGTAAGAAAGAAGCTTCGGGCCAAATGGACAGGAGAGAAGAGGTGAGAGCAACAGGGAAGGTCCTGGGGCATAATCATTGAGGCTTTCAGGGGGCGGGGTCTGCACATGTTGCACTGAAGTGTCTGGAGCCTTGATTGTGTGTGTGTGTGCGTGTGTGTGTGTGCGCGCAAATCTCGGGGAGGTTTCAGATTTGACTCACTGTAAGGAAAGCTTTTCTTTTCACAGACCACTGTCTAATTCTGGAAGAGGGTGCTCTGTGGAATCAAGAGCCTTCTTCTTGGGAGCAAAGATGCTGTGAATTGTCATTGTCACTGAGTTTGCAATTCCCTCTTTCCTGTCTGCCATCCTCAGTGCTTGATGGGTTCCCTCAAATTGGCTTTATTTTTCTGGAGTCAAACTGAATTCCATGTGACTGGATAAATGTTACTGAGCACCTACTGTGGGTGGGCACCACAGGAGGGGACTGGGAGGAGGGAGATGCAGACCCCATCCCGTGTTCACTGAGCTCCCAGACTGCTCAACAGATAATTCCAAGAGCCTCAGGAGAAGTGTTTAGCAGCTATAGAGGTCCTTGATTTTAATTAGGAAGAGACAAATGGCACGAAAATCACTGTAGTCAATGACGACAATGATAAAGATTGTTGTTACAGGAAGCTGACAGTTACTGAATACTTACTACTGAAAGCTAAGCTCTTCCCATGTATTAATTCATGCAATTTTTACAACAAGCCCACAATGTAGGTGCAGTTAGGAGCCCCATTCCAGAGATGAGGGACTTCCCCAAGTCACAGAGCTGGTGAGCAGTGAGTCAGGATTTCACCACCTGACCTGGCACCCCAGCCTGACCCCTCTCAGCAGGACCAGGCCCTTCTCCATGGTGCTGGCGCGTCCCCAAATGCAACTGCCTACTCGAGCACATCTCTTCCATGTCTCCCAGACTCTCAAATTTAGTATGTCCAAAATGGAACTTTTTATTAACACGTCCACCTCCCACCCTCCAAACTTGTCCCCCAGTCTCCATAAATGGCACCACTGTCCAGTCCACCCACGTGCTCAAGCCAGAACCTTCTCTCATGCCCACATCCCCAATTTCAAATCCATCCACCTCTCTCTACCTCCACCAGCCAGACCCTGGTTTCAAACACCAGCATCTCTTGCCTAGACTATTGCAGTAGCCTCCTAACCAGTGTTCCTGCTGTCACCCTTCTCCCGTTCCAAACCAATTTCTTGCACAGGGAAAAGTAAGCTTCAAATGCAACAGGACCATGCTATGCCCCTGCTTAAAACCTTTCAATGCCTTCCCATGTAATGAGAATAGAACCCAGCTCCCCACGCAGGGCCTTCAGGGTCCCGCCCTGCTCTCCAACCCTTCCCTTCCTCCTTCACTCTGCACCAGCAACTCCCCTCTTCTGTCCCTTCAACAGACCAAGATCTTTCCTGCTTTGAGGACTTTGCTCCTGCTGTTCCCTCTCCTTAGAATGCCCTTCCCTTGGCTCTTTGCGGGGCTGGCTCCTTCTCACCCCTCAAGTATGGGCTTGAATGTCATGTCCAAAGGAGGCTTTCTTTGGCCAGTGCCTGTAAAAAAGGGCATGCTCCTCTCCTCTGGCATACCCCCCTCGTTAGCACCTCCCAGTGCCTATCCTGTATGCTGGAAGCACACGGTAGTTAAGAGATAGGTGAGCCATGTACCGCCCACCGCTCATTCTTGAGGTCCCAGGAAACATCTGTTTATCGAGAATCCCTTGGTCATACAAAGTAAGTAATGGCTCTGGTTACTGAATTTTACCAGCCAAGGCAGGCAAACAAGCAGGTAGGAAACGTTTTCCATAAAACATGGTTTTCTGTTCAACAGGGTTTGTTAAAAAATTGAACTCTGCAAAATCTCAATTCCTGTAGCATCCCTGGAAACACAACCCAGAGCTCCATTGACTAGTTCTGGGAAATCGCTAAAGGACCTGCCACTGAAGACCAACAGGTCCCCCATGGCCAGAACAAACGAATGTGCCCTCCTAAGTGCAGGACTGACTTATGCAGGAATCTATTAAGCCGGCCTCCTGGGGCTTCATCAGCAGGTGATCAGCTCTGTGGTTTTCCCTTTCAGTGGCTTTCAGTGATGCCATAAAAAACTTGATCAATTTAAGTAAGAGCTCAGCTACTGAGGTGGTCAATTTCTGTGATTTCTCAAGGGCCCCGGCCCCAGGAGACCGACTCAATAGCTGCCACTGCTTCAGGAACATGACTTCAGAAGGACGTTTTCCGGGAAGCCTGCAGGCCAGAGCACAGCGAGGGACAGCACTGTCCCCCCCC